AAAAAAAAAAAAAAAAAAAAAAAAAAAAAAAAAAAAAATTTAAAGGAACAAAAGTTCCTCATTTAAAGACCTGAATTGGAGAATGTCCATGAAAAGTGACACCTCTATCTTATTTTCATTCTTGGAGTCACGGGACATCCCTTAGATCTTTTCAACCTTTAGCATTTACGGACTTAATCCCATCTTGGCACTTGGATTTCCCTCTCAAGCTCAAGTCAAGACTAACATCAGGGAAAAGCTGATTTTTTGAAGCCCTGGAGAGAATGAAAGATCTCTTCATGGATCTCCAGGAGGACCTGAGTCCTGCCTTGTGGAGCTTGAGGCCGCTCCAGGCCCCAGGACACAGCTGCACGTACCAGAGCTGCTCTGATGACAGTTACAGGCGAGGACATCTTCTGAGGGCTGCCACTCAGAGTCCAGCCCAAGTCTTGTGTCAGTCAGCTTGTATTGCCACAGCAGACTGCCACAGCGTGGGTGGCTTAAACAGTAGAATTTGTTTTCTCACTCTCCTGGAGGCTGATGGCCAAAATCAAGAGTCAGTGAAGACCTCCCTGGGCCTGCAGGTGGCTTCCTTCTTACTGTCTACCCACATGAATATGGTGGGGGAGAGAAAGATCATTTTCATAGGAATTCTTTATTAGCTTGTCTATTTCTGCAAAAGAAGAGGGAGAGGAGGAAAAAGAGGAAAAGGAGAAATGCATTTGGAATTTTGAATGAATTGTGTTGGATCTGTGCCTTGGTTTGCAAAATGTGCCTCTCTTAACAATACTAAGCCCTCAATCCATAAACATTGAGCATCTTTCCACTTACTACAGTCTTTGTAAATTACTTTGTTCACTATTTTAGTGTACAGTTTTGCACATATTTAGTTAAATTTATTCTTAAGTTCTTCATTTTTTGATGCTATCCTAATGTCATTATTTCCTTAATCTTTATTTTCAAATTATTACTGGCTTGTAGAAATACAAATTGTTATTACCAATATATACAAATATATTTTGTGCAAGGTTGGTCATATAGTCTGATCCCTTGTTGAATCTTTTACTAGTTCTAAGTTCTCATGATTTTCAGTGGGTTCCTTGGGGTTTTCTATATATAAGATCATCTCATCAGCAAATAGAAGAGCTCGTGTAACCACACTGGGTTCACACAAATAATCCAGGACTATGCCTTTATTTTAAAGTCAGCTGTTAACAACCTTCATTACATCCTCACAGCCCTTTATAGTAGAAACTAAATAAGTATTTGATTGAATAATCGAAGAGGGCAAAATTAGGGGGACATCTTTAGAATTCTCACTAGCACAAAAATTCAAGTTCTAATTGAGACCCCAGACTCTTTAAGTCTTTACGTTTCTGTTAAAGCATCTATGTCACTCCCCCAGCCAACACAGCAGCCTGTGGCCTTGGCCCATGCCGTCCCTTCCTGACTCACCAAGATGTATCCATCTACTTAGGACAGGAAGACGACTACAGTCCTAGACACAGCCACGTTCCCCAGTGATGATGACTACGAAGACCCTGAGCTTCAGCTGGGCGACGTGTGGCCATCGGTGAAAATTCTACCAGCCAGGCCCATAAAGGAATCTGAATATGCAGGTAACACGCAGCGCTGGGCATAACGTCTGCAGGTGCACGTCCCTGCTGCCACAGTGCATAGCAATTAAGGACACAGACTCTGAATTAAACCACCCTAGGCGGAAACCCTGATTCCATGGTATCCAGACGGCTTGGGCCAGTCTCTGGAACTCCTATCTCCACCTGAAAGCAGGGTTTGTAATAATAAGCCTCCCCCGAGAGTCCTTGTGGAGCTGGCAGGAACCACACAGGCAGGCTCCTACCATAGCTGTCATTAGGATGGTGCTCTCTCAGGTTACAGGCAAGTTGCTGGCCTAGAAGCATGGCAGAGTGAGCAGCCAGAAAGTGGGCCGCACAACAAGCATCAAGCTGGAGTTTGAGTGGCGGGGGAGAGGGAGGGAATTCTTAGCATGTATGATTCGTTCTGCAGCAGTGAGACCACGTGTAGTTCCGCGGTACAGCAGCAAAGCCACGCGTTCCGGGAGGGGCAAAGGGCTAGCTTTGTACTCACCTCTGCGTTTTTCTACTTGGGGCTTCCGCGGATGTCGGAACCTCAGATGAAACGCCTCTGTAAAAGCCAAGAGGGAGCGAGGCGTGCGTGATGAGGGCCTGGCCCATGGAAATGAACCCACGGAAACTGCTCTGGAGGGAATGATCTTGTAAAGAAAGACAGGACCCTTTGGCCAGTTGCTAAAAATGCCTCTAGGCTGCGCCAGTACTCATTTTGGCTGATCAGGGAGCATAAGGACAAGCAAAGATAACCCACAGTGCCAGGAAGGCCTTGTTCTAGTGGCAGAAGCAGATAAACAGCAAAGAGGCAGAATCTGTCAAGTGGGGGGGGACAGAAAAGGCCCGGGGTGTGGGGCAGGTGGGTGAGGATTAGGAAGATGTCCTGCAGGTGCGTTCCAGCTCACGGCCTGGAGGACGTGAAGAACTCCGGCTGGCGTGTCCGGAGTGCGCATGTGCTGCTGGCTCCACAGAAGGTGTGACTGGAATCCTCTTCCCTCTTCACAGACACTCGCTGTTTCAAGGGCGCAGCGGACGCCCCCTCTCTGCAGCACGCCAAGCCCTCAGCGCCCCCTGCAGGGCGAAGCCAGAACACGCGGCTGCTACAGCTGGAGGAAGTGAGTGCGCTCAGCGCCGGTCACGCCCAGGGGCAGCTTGGTGAGGTTGAGGGAGCCTGCGCCACACGAGGCTGGGATGACCCTGGTCCTGTGAAGGGGCTTGGGAGGAAGGAGAATTGCGTTTGCTAACGACGTACTATGAGCCAGGTCAGGCGAAGGACTTTCACGCGAATCGCATCTAAGGCACGTTGCCTTCAGAGCTGGGACTTGAACTCCCACCTTTACAATAATATTCCATGACTTTGCCTGGCATTGCCAAGGGCTAAGTGGTAATAAGTCACACAACCTCCCTGAACCTCTGAACCTTGTCCACAACATAGAAATGGAAGTCAGCCAAGATGACCTCCAAAGACCACTTGAGCTGAGTGTGGTGGTGCACACGTGTAATCCTAGTACTCTGGGAGGCTGAGGCAGGAAGATTGCCAAGTTTGAGCCCAGCCTGGGAAACTCAGCGAAACCCTGTACCCCGCAAAAAAAATTTTTTTTGGCTGAGGATATAACTCAGTGCAAAACACAAAGGCTCTAGATTCAATCTCCAGTACTGCCAAAACAAACACTGGGAGGTTACAACAGTTGATATTATGAAAATATCTTACGAATGAAAATGCCCTAAGGGCTGGGGATTTAGTCAGTGATGCTGTCACCTGCCTGGAAAGCATGAGGACCCAAGTTCAATCCCTAGTACCAAAAAAAAAAAAAAAA